GACAGTCCCTCAGATATTGCAGAGTGGGAGAGAGTTCATGCAGTGGTGTACTGGTGAATGTTTAACAACCAAATCTAGGGCCAGGGGGTGGGGTGGGGAGCTCTTTATAGTGTTTATGAAACCTACGGGATAAGTACTCTCCATGGCCAGTTTGAGCCTACCAACCTGACTTCACTAATGCAGGGGTGGGTGGAGATTTTCATAACTCTCACTAGCTAGTCCAAGTCAACTAGGGTCCAGAACCCTGTTAATGGTGCACATATGAAGGGACAGGGCCCAGCTGATAGGGTCCTGAGTGAAGGTAGGCCCAGGCAGCTGGATGTTCCAATTCTTTTCTCACCTGGTAGCATGTCCCCATTCATTCATTACTCCTCTCTCAAACAGTCTCTCAGTCTCATTTTGTAGCTTGGCCTCTTCTCTCTCATCCTTCCTTCTGCACTGTGTTGGCTGCTGGCTCAGTGCAGATGAGAAGACATCTTTAGGAGCTTGTGGACAAACGGGGAAAACCTCTTCTCCAGACTTTCAACTTGGTGCCCAGAAATCCAGTGGGGTGACACCTGCTCCCTGATACCAGCACCAGCTAGTGAGGCAGAAGCAAAGGGAGGTACCAGGCAGCTTCTTGAACACTGGGAGGGCAGCAGGGACAACAAGGGCATTCCCGGCAAAAGAAGGGCAGTTTGGAGCAAAGCTGGTGAGGTGCTTTAGTATGACTGGGCTCAGGTGCCAAAGGGTGTGATTTGGGAGCAAATGAAGCTGAAGAGGAAGCAGAGCCCAGACCCCAATTGGCTTAGCAGATCCAAAGAGAAGTTCAGGGTTGGGATTGTGGCTCAGCGGTAGAGCGCTCACCTAGCATGGTCGGGACCTGGGTTCTATCCTCAGCACCACATAAAAATAAAAGCGTTGTGTTGTATCCAAAGAGAAGTTCAACTGCATGCCAAGATGACCAGGAGCCACTGAAGGCTTCAGAACAGAGGAATGATGTGGTTAGATCTGCATTTCAGGAAGATCACACTGGCCTGGAGGAGGTCTAGGTTGTGGGTGGAGATGAGCTGGTAGGGAGCCTGCAGCCAGGTTGGAGGGTGATTAATGGTGGTCCAGGCTGCAGAAACAGTGTGGAGAGGGAGATAAATTCAGCTGGTTTTTTTTTGTTTGTTTGTTTTTGTTTTTTTTTTGGCTTGGCTTGGCTTGGGGGGTTTGGGGTACTTGGAATTTAACCTAGGGTGCTTTTTCACATTTCTAGCCTTATTTATTTATTTATTTTTATTCTGAGACAGGGTCTCACTAATTTGCTTAGGGCCTCACTAAATTGCTGGTCTGAAACTTGTGATCCTCCTGCCTCAGCTTCCTGAGTGGCTGGGATTATAGTTGTGGTGGCCCACAAACCTGGCCCTTTTTGTTTTTTATTTTGAGACAGGGTCTTGCTAAATTACCAATATTGACCTTGAATTTGGGATTTTCCTGCTTCAGCCTTCTGAGTTTCTGGGGTTACAGGCTCAGGTGGCATTTTACTGAGTACTCAGTCTGATGGGTCTTTGATTTGTATTACCTCCTGGAACTCTCTAGAAACACTTGGAAGTATATATTATTTTTCTTTATTTTTTGGTACCAGAGATTGATTACAGGTGCACTTAAACACTGAGCCACATCCCCAGTACTTTTTTAAAAAATGTTTATTTTGAGAAAGGGTCTCACTAAGTTGCTTAGGACCTTGCTAAGTTGCTGGGGCTGGCTTTAAACTTGTGACCYGCTTGCCTCAGTCTCTTGAGCTGCTGGGATTATAGGTGTGCACCACCACACCCAGCTCTGGTATATATTGTTATTGTTTCCACATTATAGGCTCAGAGAGATTGAGGGACATGGTGACACAGTATAAACATGACGAGCAAACTTAAGAGCAATTCCTTTTCTAAAAATAAATAATTTTTAAAATATTTATTTTTTAAGTTTTAGTGGAAACAATATCTTTATTTTATATTTATGTGGTGCTGAAGATCAAACCCAGTGGCCTGTGCATGCCAGGAGAGCACTCTACCACTGAGCCACAACTCCAGCTCCCTGGGGCAATTCCTTTTACCCTCTAGCATGATAAGATGAGTGGTGAGACTAAAGGAGGCTGAGTAGGGGCTAGTGAAGAGGAATTTAGTTTGGACATGATGTTGGGAGAGTCTTAGTGACAAACAAGCAGAGATGTCCCCTGCAGAAAGAGAGACATTCTTTCAGGGCCTGTTGCTCCAGGGAGAAGCCATATTGGTAGTAGGGATTTGGGGAAACAAGAATACAACAAAGGGGTCTCAGGTTGTAGCTCAGTGGTAGAGCACTTGCCTAGCACATGTGAGGCACTGGGTTTAATTCTCAGCACCACATATAAATAAATAAATAAAGGTCCATTAACAACTAAAAAATAAAAAACCCACAGCAAAGTGCTGGAAGCTATGGGCCTAGATAGGCTGGGCCAGGGAGCATATAGAAAGTGAGGAGGGAAAGGAGCCCTGAGGAGCCCCAACTTAGGGAGCTGAGACAAAGCAGCTAAGGGAGCAGCCTAGGTAGGGGAGAAGCAGTTGAGAAAGGCAGGGGCCTCAGCACAGGGAAGGGAGGCCTCAACAACATAGGGGCATTGGGGTGGGGGACATGGGCAGGTTGCATGTTGCAGAGGTTGGGTTGAGAACAGCTCATTAGGTCCAGAGAACAGGGCCYATTACTCAGGCCTTGCTAGAGCAATTCTCATGGAGCACAGGGCAGAAGCTGGAAGGATGGAGTAAGGACCAAGAAGAAAGGACAAGTTGGGATYCCCGTTTCCAAAGCTTTGCTTTAAAATCCAGGGGGAGAGCAAGCAAAAGTGTTGCGGGCTTAGTATTGAGAAAGGACTTCCTTTAGCACATCCTAAAATTGTCCATTTACAACCATGACTTCAGTCAATTCCTAGAGCTTCAGGAACTGAGTCCTACAGAGAACTTACGAAGCATAGCAAAACTTTAGCTATGCAGGGCTGCAGGTGCAGTTCAGAGGTAGAGTTCATGTCGAGCATGCATGTGGCCCTGGGCTCCAGCATGAAGGGGAAAAAATTATGATTCTTAACTACTCTGGAGTCTAAATGGGAGAATCACAAGTTCAAAGCCAGCCTAGGACAATTAGACCCTGCCCCAAAGTAAAATGGGCTGGGGAGATGGCTCGGTGGTAGAGGTAAAGCACTGCTTAGTATGTCCAAGGTCCTGGGTTTAATCCCCAGTACCACAAAAGGAAAAGAAGAAACAAAGAAAGAAAGAAACTTCAGCTATCCAGAATTCTTGCCTAATGAATCACTCTGGAAAATCAACCTTTATTTGAACAAAAATACTTGAGAGGCATGTGTGAGCACTGGTTGATTCTCAGTACCACATATAAATAAATAAAATAAAGGTCCATTGACAACTAAAAGAAAAATTTTTTAAAAATACTCAAGGACTGGGGTTGTGGCTCAGTGGTAGAGTGCTTGCCTCACATGTGTGAGGCACTGGATTTGATTCTCAGCATCACATATAAATAAATGAATAAAATAAAGGTCCATCAATAACTAAAGAAATATTAAAATACTCAAACTRAAGGGTTTCCTTACCTTCTAAAAAAATTTTTTTAATCAATCACAGAAATAGTCAAAAAAAGTAGGCTCAGGGTGTAGTTCAGTGGTAAAGTGTGCACTTAGCATTTGTGAGGGCCAGTCACCAGCACCACAAAAATAAATAGAAAGTAGAGAGAACAGTATAATAAACCCCAAATTCCYATCATTTAGCTTCAATGGTTATCAACTCAAGGTCAATTCTTTCTTGTCTACACTTCACTTGCTCTTCTCAGACTCTGCAATATCAATCCCAGACATTATATGAATCTATTCATAAATCTTTAGAATGTTTCTCCAAAGGATAAAATACATTTTTTTTTTTTTTAGTAATAGAGACTGAACCCAGGGTCTCATGAATGCTAAGCGAGTACTCTACCACTGAGCTAAGCTCCAGCCCTTTTCATTTTTTTTTAAATATTGAAACAGGGTCTAAGTTGCCCAGGCTAACTCTCTAGCCCTCTTTTTGCCTCAGCCTCCCAAGAAGCTGAGATGATAGGTATGCACCACAGAGCCTGGCTGAGACAAAAGATATTTTAAAAATATAAGCACAGCCCACGACAGTGGTGCATGCCTATAATTTCTGCAACTCAGGAGGCTGGGGTAGTAGGATCCCAAGTTCAAAGCCAGCAATTTAGTGAGGCCCTGTCTCAAAATAAAAAGGGTTGGAGATATGGCTCAGTATTTAAGCACCCCTTGGTTCAATCCCCAGTAACAACAACAACAACAACAAAATACCATATTATTCCAAAATTTAATGATAATTGCATAACATAATCAAATGTCCATTGTCCAGTTTACCCAATTGTCTTATTTTTTTTTCCAGTTGGTGGATTAAGATTAGGCTTCAAACAAGGTGTATCTACACACTGCATTTATTTGCTTAGTCTCTTAAGAGTCCCTTTCTTTTTCSAGGCACCAGGGTGCAGGGCAGGGTAAGCTTTTGGGCTGAAGAGTGCAGGGAGGCGGATGGATGGTCAGAGTCAGGACATCCATGTRCGATTACAGAGATAGGGTACAGAGGACGGTCGGTCTCTCCAACAGGGAGGAGAGGCCAGGGCTGCTGAAAGGTGGGGCTTGTCTTTGTGCATCCCTGAGCAACTCCTTCCACCAGCTGCTGGGGCTAAAGGAAGGCGAAAATACGTCCCAAGCTGAGGAGCAGGGACAGGGCTCAGGCTGGCAGGGGTCAGCTGCCCTTTCCACAGGCTGGAGGTGAGGGAGGGCTGGGGCCTGAGATCAGGCCTAGAAGTAACAGGATGTCTCTGTTGGGGAGGGAGGAAGAAGACAGCGCCAAAACCCAGGTCCTGGCCAGTCCCCAGCTCCACCCTACCTGGCCTTGGCCCAGGAGGGCCTCCCTGGCCTCCTAGCTATCATCCACCCTGGCACCCGGACACTGGCTCCCTTCACAATGCTGAGGGTCCATGGTCCAGATCGTTTGCTCTGCCTTCTATTCCTGCTCCTGGCCMCCCACAGCGCTGAGGAGGACCGTCCTCCTTGGCGAAGGTTTGAGTACAAGCTCAGCTTCAAAGGTCCAAGGCTGGCATTGCCTGGGGCTGGAATACCCTTCTGGAGCCATCACGGAGGTGAGGGGAAGAGGTGGGGAGCAGCCACACCCGGGGCCCTCAGAGCACTGGAGMTGGGACTAGATGGGGAGTAGGTCTGCCAATGCCTCTGTCCAGGGTGGGGCCTGGCTGGCGTAGACAGCGCCGGGGCCCCAGGACCACTCCCAGGCTGGTTTCCTGCTCTACCCACTATAATTCCATCCCTACCCAGCAGCCTCAGTTTCTCCTCTCTGCCTTCCCTACCCTAGGACCACTCTCTTCTTTGTCTCTCCTTAGACCCCTCATCTTCCTTTGCCTCTCGGACGGACGGTAAACACACATGAACTCTCCTCTCTTCCTCTCCCTCTCCCTCTCCCTTTCCCTCTCCTCTCCCTTCTCTCCCTCTCCCTCTCACACACACATACACACACTCTAAGTCCCAGACACACAGAAACAAATTACCTCGGACCAGTACAAGCTTACAGTCTAGGATTCATCTTGGTGGGTCATGGCTGTCGACAAGAACTGGGAGGCTACCTGGAGGGAGGCATCTTCGTGTCCAGCTGTTTTGCCACAGCAGGCACCAGCCCTTCCTTGTATGTGTGTTGGGGATAGAATCAAACCTGAAAGCATCTTACTCCACAGGTCTGTATATAAGGCCCTCCAAACCCAGAACTATTACAAAGAGTCTATCTTCTACCTGATTTTGTTCTCAAAAAAGTTTGTGATGACTAAGAATTATAAAATACAAAGGAACTTAATTTAGGAATAAGTAAGAAAGACACTTGCAATGAGAATGGGGCAGGAAATAAGTCCACGAATGTAGCTTTCTTCCAAAACATATGCCTTGAGATTTATTTAACCATAGATTTAGTTTAGAGCTTCCTGGCAGGCAAAGCAAAGAGAGCAAGCAGATGGCCTGTGTATTACTATCTATGAGATGTAAGTTCTGGAAAATGGCCCACTTGCTGACTGAGGCTCTTAAAGATGATAAAACCTGCTAGTAGGGTCTTTGTTCTAATCTTCTCACAGAGGAACGGGAGGTAAACATATGAGTGGGCTCTTTCAGCACCAAGCCAGGCTCTGCCTCAGGGTCAGGATGGCAGGGCAGGTACAATGCTCATTGTTCTGGGCCTTGCCAAGTGTCACAGACTGTGTAGGGTAGCAGAGGCACAGTTTATGAAATCACCCAGTGATTATGCTTGTAGCTTCTTCATTCATTCATTCACCTTTTATGGAACCCCCACTCCCATGCTCCTCTGTGTCCAGCCCGGTCAGGCTCAAGGAGCCCATGGTCTATGGCAAGGTCCACAGACACTCCATAGAAGGCTGAGCATGTAAGTGTAGCAGTTAGCAGACAACCCTGGTCTCCTGCAAGTCACTTCAAGGTGGCAGCAGCTTCCAGGGGCTCTGGGACTTGCAGCCTTGCTGTATCTGAGCCTCCCTGCCCCCATCCCTGGCCGTTGCAAAGCAAACAGGCTGGATTAGCAGCCTTTGGAAAGCCTGGCAGGGTCTGGGCCCTGGGCCAGGTTCCAGGCTGGCAGGCCGGAGGGCTGGGGAACCAGCTGGAGTGGGGACTCTTGACTTCCCTTCCCCTGGTTCTTACCAAGTCTCTCAGTGTCTCTCCTTTTTCTGCTCTCCTACTATGTAGGTCCCCACCAACACCAGGGGTGGTTCTCACACTAGCTCCATCCTTCTCCCCTCCTCACCGTCCTGAGGGCCAGCAGCCACCTCTGCCCACCCCTCCTGCTTTCAAGCCTTCCTCATCTTGGAAGGAACCAGGTCTCCCTGCAACACACACAATGAAGCCCCATTCAGCCAAGTGTCCTCTGAGCTTCCACAACCTGCAATCCTGAGCCTCCTGGGGCTACTCTCTCACAAGTTGCTCTCCTGTGCTCTGTGGTTTCAAGCTGTCCCCTTGCCCTCACAAGTCCTTAATCTCCTAATCTGACAACACGAATCTCTCTCATGGCAGTAAAATGTTGTACTTTGAAGTCAGATTGAAATGAATTCCAATCCACTTAGTTCCTTGACTTTTCTGAGCCTCCGTTTTCTCATTGGTAAATGGAGTCTCATCAAAAYAGATAACACAGGCTTCAGTGAGGCTGAAGTGAGAACACAGGCAACTTTCCCACCCGGGACACTGTCCCCTCCTGTGCTGGGTTGTAGATCTCCCTTCTTCAATTGGCTCCTGCATGGGTCCAACGGGCCCCTGATTTTTTTTTTTAATATATATTTCTTAATCGTGTATGGACTCAATGCCTTTATTTGTTTTCATGTGGTGCTAGGATTGAGGCAAGTGCTCTACCACTGAGCCACGACCCCAGCCCCAATGGGCTCCTGACTTAATAGCAGGTCAGGTGTGACCTCCTTCTCCTCCCAGGGCCTGGCTCCAGCCAATAAGACAGGAAGTTGGGGATTGAGAGAGTAGTGGGCCCTGGCCCTTGAGCTTCCCTGCTCCACAGATACCATCCTGGGCCTGGAGGAAGTACGCCTAGTGCCATCCATGAGGAACCAGAAGGGCGCGGTGTGGAGCGAGACTTCTGTCCTCTTCCCTGCTTGGGAGGTGGAGATGCAAATGAGGGTGACTGGGCCCGGGCACCSGGGAGCCCAGGGCATGGTGAGTAGCCACCACCCAGGCCTATCAGAGTGGGTGAGTCAGGGAGGAGGGGGATGAGCCCTGGGTTCCAGTGTCCTTCAGAGACCCTGAGCTGAGGGTCTGGGGACCTGCAGGCTGTATGGTATACCCAGAACAGGGGCCAAGTTGGCTCTGTCTTTGGGGGGCTGGCCTCATGGGACGGCATCGGGATCTTCTTTGACTCCTCGGCCGAGGATACCCAGGTGAGTAGCGCTCTCCTGCCTGCCCATTCCCTTGCCCTCCTTCCTGTGCCCAGGGCTCAGGCTGATTGTCACTCCCATGCAGGACAGCCCTGTAATCCGTGTGGTGACCAGCGATGGGTACGTCCCTTCTGAGCAGCTTGGGTAAGGGTCTGTGGGGACTGACCTGCCCCTACCCTGGGCTATGAGGGCTCAGCCCCTGCCCCAGGGAGCCCCCCACCGCCGCTAGAGCTGCCACCATGCTGGCTCTCTCACTCTGAGCCCACAGCTGCCTCCTGGGACACCTCTCACTGGGTGTCAGCTGTGCCTGCAGCAGCCCCAAAACCAGAATACTTGCTCTTCCTGGGAACTGCCCCACGGAGTTCTCAAGTAATTCAACCCAATAGTCCCAAGTGAAATCCCCTTGTTAAGTGGGGATTGTTAAGTGAGGACACAGAGGCCCAGAGAGGTGAAATGACTTACTGAGGTCACACAGCTGTGTGCAGAGCTGAGACTGGAGTCCTGACTTGCCCATGGAGGTTCCACGCCCTTCCCTGCACCAGTTGAGTCTTCCCTTTCTCCAGGATGACGTGGCTTGCTGGCCTCCGTGGCCCAGTTGCTCCTCAGTGGCTGGGCCGGTTTGTCGTTTGTCGGTGTCTCTTAGCAAACATCCCTCCACTCGTAACAATTAGAATAATTGCTAACATTTGTGGAGCTGAGTTTACTGTATAGGCACAGTGCCCAAGCACTTGACATTCATTCTTAGTTACCTTCATAGCCSTTGTTATGAGGTAATGGCAATTATCCTCTTCATTTTAATGAGGGAATGCCCCGGGCATGGGGAGGTGAGGTAACTTGCCCAAGGTCACACAGCTAGGAGTGCAGACTCAGGGAGCTGCTCTGGACCTGCTTCTCCCTGGCTCTGTGCTGCTTCCCTCTCCCATGTAGGTGACAATGACATGCTCTGGTGTGAGCTGCCCACAGTGTCTGTGCACCCATGTGCCCAGAGGAACTCAGGCCTCATCACTCTTCTCCTAACTCTCCAGAGCCTGCTGTGTCACCCCTGTKGGGAAATGAGCTGGTCATATTGTCCTTGGCCATTAGGACATGTGCCAAGCTATCAGTCCCGCTCAGTCCAAGCCTTGGTAGAAGAGAAGAAAAAGAAGTATCCCCAGAGTCATGGGGAGACTTGGAGTTTAAGGGAGAAAGGGACAGTGAGATGAGGTGGTGGGGTGCAGGGAACAGAAACCCATACTTGGTTCAAGCCTCTGGCCTTCTGGGGAAAGGCCACAGGGAGGCTCCAGCCTCCTCTGTAAACTCCAAGTCCCAATATTCTGCCAGGTGAAGCCTGCTTTCCTATCCCTCTTTCTTATGCTAAGGAGGCAGAGTACAGCAAGGGAGACTCAAGTCTCATACCAGGCCACCCACTGGGAAGGGGGTGTCACCACAAGCCTCAGCAGAGTGACTACTGGGTGCCCTTATTGGCTGGGCCTAGGGTCTTATGTGGCCTGGCTAGATTCCAGCTCTCACAGGGATGGAGCAAGTCACCAGGTACTGGGCTCCTGTCACCGAGACTTCCGGAACCGGCCATATCCCATCAGAACAMGGATCACCTACTGGAGGCAGAGGCTGCGTGTGAGTCACCCTCCTGATTCTAGGGGTCCTTTGCTGGCAGATTACAGAGCTCCAAGCTACACAGTTGCTGTGGGGGGTGCCCATGGCCCCAACAGACTCGTGTCTGTGATACCACAAAGGGTATCAGAGACAAAGGGTCCCTCCACTCACGTGGCATTCCTGGCACATCCCATGTGGGATCCTCCACCTGTATACAGAATCCTAGCAGTCACCCAGAGAACAAGCACATAGTGTTCACATGAAACCAGAGTGCAGGTCACCTTCATKTCATTTAGATCCCAAGCACTTGGCTGTCTGTCCTTCTTCAGGACCAGGGGAGCCAGAGAGTCAGAGGTGGGGATGATCCCCCGATGCTGGGTAAGGCGACAAGAAGAAGCTCATGCCCTCTATGCCCTTCAGGTGTCCTTGAGCACTGGTCTCACTCCCAGTGACCCAGATGAGGTCTGTGTCGATGTGGGGTCCGTGCTTTTGGCTCCTGGAGGTTTCTTTGGGGTCTCAGCAGCCACCAGCACYCTGGCAGGTGAGGGCCTCTCTGGGCAGGTAAGCGCCGAGGGCAGTGTTCGTTTTTTGTGTGGGTAGTGCTGGGGTGGAGCCCAGGGCCTTGCTGTGCTAGGGAAGTGCTCTGCCACAAGTGCTCTGCCATTGAGCCCCGGCTCGCCTAGGGACCCTGTGAAATGACTCATCCTTCGMATCCCTTCTAAAGAGCTCTGTGTGTGGGGTCAACCACTTCCTCACCATGTGACCTGAGCAAGTCACGAGCCCTCTCTGGGTCTCTATTACCATCTGGAGAAGGTCACATCTGCCTTGCAGGGTTACTGAAACTCTCAAATGTGATAAAACGTGAGAAGCTTTTATTCCAGTATTGCCCYTCCCCCATGCAATGCGGCAGGTGAAAGGAGGATAGTGGCTACAGGGGACATTTAGGGAAATAGAGCAGAGGGAGGTGATGCAGGGGGGAGCCCATGAGGGTCTGCAGCTGGAAAGCGRGCTGGGATTAGAGCATGGCAGTCCTTGAATGGCAGGACTTTGGTCTTTATTTTATTGTTTTRTTTTGGTACTGGATTGAACCCAGGAGTGCTTAACCCCTGAGCCACACCCTCAGCCCTTTTTTGAATTTTATTTAGAGACAGGGTCTTGCTAAATTGCTTAGGGCCTTGCTAAGTTGCTRAGACTGGCTTTGAGCTCAGGACCCTCCTGCCTCAGCCTCCCAAGATGCTGGGATTATAGGTGTGCACCACCAYACCCAGTAGGACTTTGGTCTTTAGACTGGGCACTGGGGAGCCCTGGAAGGTTTCTGAGGAGGAGAGTGATGTGATCCAAGCCACCGTGGGGAAGCAGCCCCTGCAGGATGCTGTTGCCAAAAGCAACTGTGCTCTGGGATGGGAGGGTGTCCCTTGGCCTGCTGCCATGGCTCTAGCCCTGGATGCTTTGTGATTGTCCAGTATTCCCACGCACAGGGGCCTAGCTGCATRTGTGGTTCACCCTCACAGCCCACACATCTGCTTCCCTGGCTCTCACACCTTTTTTATGAAGTGAGCAAGACAAATGCCCAAAGTCACCCCGACCTCTTGCCTTCCTGGGATATAATGGAGCCTGGGGGCGGAGTGAGGTCTGGATGAGCAGGCTGCTGGGTGGAGGGATCTTATGTCCCCTTCATCTATCCCCCTTCCAGATGACCATGATGTCCTGTCGTTCCTGACTTTCAGCCTGAACGAGCCGGGTCCAGAGGTGATACCAGCCCTGGCCTGCCTCCGAGAGGCAGCGCAGGGACCCACCCCTCCCCAGATGCTTTTGCCGGTCTCATCATGTCCTTGGACTCACCATTTCAGCCCTTATCCTCACCTGTTCTCTTAATTCTGCTCAGGCCCCAAGCCTTGTGCTTGGCAGTGCTGGGGGTCAGGCTCTGTCTCCAGGCCTCCCAGGCTGGTGGGTGGAGTCAGGCTATGAGTGATCTGTGCTGGCTATCAAAAGGCACAGGGGGCACTGGGGTTGAGGCTCAGTGGTAGAGTGCTCACCTAGCGCATGTGAGGCACTGGGTTCCATCCTCAGCACCACATAAAAATAAAAAATAAATAAAATAAAGCTATGGAAAAAAGTTTAGTTTAAAAAAAAAAAGGCACCAGGGCTGTGGCGAGCACAGAGGAGGGGTCTGAACTGCCTGAGGGTCAGGGAAGGCTGCCTGGAGGAGGGAGCTTAAAGGAACCCTACATACACAGGCCTGAGGCTCCAGCAGGGAGGGAAGAGTGTGGGGTGTGGGGCTGGAGGTAGARGCAGAGCTCAGAGGGCTAGAAAGAGCTGGCGAGGCTGAGCAAAGCCCTACCCCCAGGGTGGGGTGAATAGTTGGTCAGGGAGGGTAGCTAGGCTCATGCGGGATCCTGTGGGAAGGCTCTTTCCACTTTTGGCTCTCCCATAGATTGAGGCTTGATCTCTGTCTTCCTCCTTCAGGTTCCCCCTCAGCCCTTCCTGGAGATGGAGCAGCTTCGTCTGGCAAGGCAGCTGGAAGGGCTGCAGGCCAAGCTGGCCCTGGGCAGCAGGGTGGTTATAATTCCACAGCCAAACTCAAAAGCCCAGGAAGAGGGTAGAGACCCAGGGAGTGGGCAGGAGGGGAAGTGGCCCATTTGAGTATCATGATCCTATGTCCTTAGAATCAGRAGTCCTTCAACCAGTGGGGAAATGGAGGTCTAAGGAAGCCATATCTAAGCCAAACGTGGACCCAGGTGTCCTGTCCTATCCTCTCCACCCAGAAACTCTCCAAGGGAGCAGCCATRCCATTTGATGCTCCTCAAGTCCCTGAAGGTAGGGTCTTTTTCCCCACCCCAATGGCCACCCACCCAGCTCTGCCCCATCCCCAGGGGAAAGGTTCTTTGGCCTGGAGGAGACATTGGGCAGACACAACAAGATCCTGCAGGACCTCCAGGCTCTCTCTGAGCAGTTGGCCCAGGCAGAGATGCAATGGAAGAAGCAGCTGGGGTTCCTAGGCCAGGCCAGGCCTGAGGGAGCCTGGGTGAGTAGCCCCTTGGGCATCCAAGKCTCCACCTGTGGTCCTAAAAGAGGAAAAGAGCTATAGTCAGGAACTAGTCTCCCCTAAAGTCTGGAGTACAAAGAGGGCAGGRATTAAAGACCGCAGGTCACAGGATGGGGCAGGCCAGCATGCACAAGGACATCTCTGCACAAGCAAAAGCTCCAGAGCCACACAGTTGGGGCTGGGGAGAGGAGATGCCAGGAATTTGGATCCGGGTCTGTAGACGAATGACAGAAATAGACTAGGTGCTAATTTGCATGTAGCTTCACAAGTGACTTGCCTGTGGCTTGCTTAATGCTCAGTTGCATCAGAATCCTCTTTTCATCTTCACTGTCCCTCCAAGTTCCACCCCCAGGGAGTCATGTCCCAGGGCACTGCCCAGCCTTGGGGGTTGAGAGCTAAACCCAGCCAACGCTTAGGTGCTTAGGTGCCTAGCAGAGGAGACCAGCAGCACTTTCAGGCTTTGCTGGGTTCTGAAGGGTCAAGATTTTTAATCTTTTGTCCTCAGACCAGAGCAGATTAGGCTGGGCTGCTGGAGTGGGACAGAGGGGAGGGGGTTTACACCCTAGGGCCAGTCCTCTCTGATCCTACCTTCAGTTCCTGAGAGATTCCATTCATCCCCCAAAAGGGCAGCCACCTCTCTAGGTCACTCTGCAGGACTGGGAACSAAGCCCTGGCTGTTAACTAGCACTGGCCTCCAGCTTGGGTCATGCCCTGGGAGAAGGGAAGGGAGAGAGGACTGGGCTGAACTTCAGGGAGGAAGAACCATTTCTAGAAATGGGAAGAGCTTGGGTTGGGATTGTGGCTCAGTGATAGAGCGCTTGCCTAGCACAGGCAGGCGGGACCMGGGTTCGAYCCTCAGCACCGCATAAAAATAAAGGCATTGTGTTAAAAAAAAGAAATTGGAAGAGCTTGATAAGGTCTAGGGGTGACTCTGTTGGTGGGAACAAGCCTCTTTAGGGAGAAGGGGCTTGAGATCAGGAGAGAAGACTTCARAAGCCCAGGTGAACAGGAGTCTGGTAAACTCTACCTGCCCCAAATGAGAAGGGCCCTGGTAAACTGGTAAGGCCTCTGGAAGGAGGGGGGCTGCAGTGTCTCTGGGGAAGGTGGGCTTTGAGGGGAGGACAGCTGGGTCCTGGACCATAGATAAGAGGATGGCTCTCCGCAGGATTCTGCCAAGATCAGCACCCTGCTCTATGGACAGCAGACTTTGCTCCAGGCCCTGCAAGAGATGAGGTAAGGTGGAGTAAGGGAGGAGCTGGAAGAGGGAAGAGAAGCCTCTCTACCAACTTTGTCTGTCTGCCTGCAGCTCCTCTCTGGGCTCTTCCTTCCTTTCATTATTTCCTGAACAACCAGCACAGAGTTTGGCAATGAGAGAGCCTGGGGCTGAAGTTATGTTAGCTGAGTTGACCTCAATTTAAATGAATAAAGTCCTAGTTTAAAAGCAACTATCCCTAGGAGAAGCCCATCATGAAGGACGCCTTGAGACATTCCCACCCCAGCAAGGGTTAGTAACTCTGAGCTTTCCTCCAGTGATAGTTTATGGAAGGAACGAATGTTTTGATGAACATTCTTGGAAGGAGCACAACCAAGATCAGACCAGCTGGAGACAATCCCTGAATTCATTTTTGCCCTTCTCCAGCCTGCTAGCATCCTACTCTGGAGCACTCAGGCCTGTGGAGCTACCCATAGACTCCTAAGAGTGGGGAGATCACCTGGATGCCATGGGTGCTCTCACCCCACATCCAGACACCTGGGGTGGTATAGGGGAAGAGGGAAGAAGCTAAATTCCCTRGGGTCTGTAGGTGAAAGAAAGAGCCCAAGGAACCTCAGGTTGAGAAAGACAGATTTAGAGAGAACTTGTCTGAGCTAGAGCTGGCTCAAGATCTAAGGAAAAGATTTGGAGTAAAAAGACCAGTCCCCAAGAAAACCCCCTATGAATGGTGTCTGTTCCCCACCTATTCACTACCCTGGGAATTGTGGGAAATGATTAGTTAATTTGGGTACAACCCGAAGGGGTAATGAGTCATTCCCATGGTTTTCACTCCACACACACACCAGCAATGCAGCTGCTCGCATGGCCTCAGGAGCCCAGGTCTTCTACCTGCCTGTGGGCACCRAACACCATTTCTTAGAGCTGGACCAGATCTTGAGCCTCCTGCATAAGAGTCTTCGGGACCCAGTGGTAATGGAGAAGTAGTGGGTAGCACGGGGGGCCCAGCCCTGAGGTCCGGGCTCTTTCACCCTTCTTCCAACTCAACCACCAGAAGGGAAATGGGTGGGCTGTGCCCAAGATCATTCAGAGTTTTATGGTAGAGGGGCTCTTTTCTGTGCCCTTGTACCTTCTTGCTCTTTCCCTCGCCCTCACCCTCATCCTGTCTTTGTTTTCCACTTCAGTCTCTCTCATCTCTTAAGCCCTTGGCCTCCTGATGATCTCAGGATCTAGGTCTTCCCAGCTTTTCTCACAGATGGAGCCATCAGAGCTGGGGTGGGGGAGGAAATGCATGCTGCCCCTCCTCCAGGTTCCCCAGATGAGAGCCAGCATGCCCCAAACCTGGGGAGATAAACAGGGCTCAAGTATGGCACAGATTCCAGGTACCCCGCCTCCTTCTGTGTTAGAAGCTGATCAAGATCTCAGACTTTCCCCTTTCAGAAAGCAGCAGTCAAGTCCCCCCRCCCATATGGATGGCCCCCAGGAGCCTCCACATGTCTACGGCCCGGCATCTTCCTGTTCTTCCTCCTCATCCAGACTTTKGGCTTTTTCTGCTATGTGAATCTTAGGTGGGTCTTCCATGAGCAGCACTTCCCACCCTACTCAACATCACTTGGTTCTGGGTTACAGCTATTCAATTTGCAAGAAGGACCCTGAGGCCCAGAGGGGAGCTGCCCAGTCCTCCAGAWGGCAAGGAGCAAAGCACAGGCTCAAACCCATACTTTCATCAGACACAGACCACCTGCTCAACCCYAGCCCCATCTGGTYCTGGTGTCACAGAGCTCATGCCAGAGTGAGACACTGATAAGCAACCAGTAGTCACACCCTAGATGATCAGTGCTATAAATGGCAGGAAGCTCAGGGACTTCAGGAAGTACAGGAGAAAGCACTTGATAGAGCTTGTGAAGATCAGGGATCTGGTCTGAAAAGGACATTTGATAAGGGTCATCAAARTGACTAGGAGTTTCCCAGCATGACAGGATGGGTAAAGGCATGGATGCATAGAGAACAGCATGGGGAAATGAAAAAAGTATAATATTTTGGAGAAAAAAATGATAATTCAGTACTGTTGGTGAAAAGAACAGGACCAGTTTGTGAAATTGATAATTGAAAAGGTGGGGGATGTCASTATTTCTGCTTGATGGGTGTTTGCTGAATGGATGAGCGCTGGTCCGACTCTTTTCACCAAAAGTACTGAATTATCATTTTTTTTTTCTCATTTAGAGATGCAGATATGCTGAAGGCCCTGGACAAGGGACTGACAGTCCTTGCTGGGGAATCTCAAAACAAGAATTAGTGTGGGCTTGGATGATCCCGGGGAAGGAATAAAGTGTGCTGAGCTTTAAAAAGCACAAAGTGGAAACAATCACAGGCTTCCTGGTGTACAGAAGGGCAGTGGTAGCAATAAACCACCCAGATGGTCCTTAAATGCCAAGGGGAAATATGCACTTCATGTGACATGCTAAGGGAGCCATAGAAGATCCCAGAGCAAGAAAGGCTGTGGTGCAGTGAATGGAGGAAGGCAACTGTGAGTCTTGGTTTCAAAAGCCCAGAAGAGGCTGGGTGCAGTGGTGTACACCTGTAATCCCCACAACTCGGGAGGCTGAAGCAGGGGGACCACAGGTTCAAAGCCAGCCTCAGCAACTTAGCAAGGCCCTAATAAATTTAGCAAGACCCTGTCTCAAAATAAAATTAAAAAAATAATAATAAACGGGTTGGGGATGTGGCTCCATCACTGGTCCAAAAAACAAAAACAAAAGCCTAGAAAGGAAGAAGTCAAGCAACCATCTTCTCTCTGCAGCAGGCAGGAGCTGGACAAGAGGCTTCGGRAGTGTTTGTCCACAGGAAACCTTCCTTTGGGTGCTGTGCCACACATCTCTAGGGTGCTGGGAACTCTGAGGAGGCAGYCCTTCTCCCCCAGCATGCATGCCTGACCCACTTCAAAGCCACTTCTCTCTGGGAAGCAGGTGGCTTCTGGGGGTGGGGAAGAGGACTTTGCTAGGATCCTCTTCCTCTTGGTGCCCAGCTATTGCCCACACCTTAGCTTTTGGTGAGCCCCATCTTATTAAAGGTGAATTCCCTCTTCTGCGTGTGTTGATATGCTCCTTTATCTCCAAGTCTAATCTCTCTGATGGCTTCCACCGCTTTGGGTAGGTAACCTGGAGTGGGCTCTAAGCAAGTAAGCAGGCCAAGGGCTCACTTACCTGCCCAAAGACCAGATACCCCACAGCCCTTCCCTCTTGACCAGAGAAGGAGAGGGAGTAACAACTGCATATAATTCTGTCCCCAATTCACCAGAACAAGGAGCCGTGTCTCCCAGTACCCCTCCTGGCCCAGCCCTGCTAGCATTACCAAACAATCCTCTCCCTCTTCAATCCCTGCAGCTCATGGACAGCAGGGCAGGCACGTGACTGAGGAACCCCCAGAGGGGAACACATGAATCCATAACTGGGATTCCTGCTAACGCTTTCGGGTCTTCCTTCCCAGTCCCAAGCTCCAGGGCCAGCAGGTTTCGGGGCTGGGGGGTTGGAGGAAAGAAGGATGGGGTGAGGTTTTGCCCCTTGCTGCTKCTTGGATCTCCCAGCTGAAATCCTGAATATCAGTGACCCAGGAGGGGAGTAGGYTGAAGGAGGTTAGGAAGCAGGGAAAGCATCAGCGCAACCCCTGTCCCTGGAGGAGCGACCCCATCACCGCAGGCCCTAATCCGCTGTCAGCAGTGGCCARCAGAGCTTGGCGTTGAAGGAGGCACGTGGGAGAGGCGGGAGTGAGGAGCGGGCACGTGGTCCAGCCTTCTCAGCCCCGTGCATGCCCCCCGCCCCCCGTGAGGAGGGGTTTGGGAAGGTAGGGGCGGGCCCGGGCGGGGGCGGGCGACAGGCGGCGCAAAGCGTGGGGCGAGGGCTAGCGGCGGGAGCTGTCCGCGGGACCTGGTGCTGAAGTGAGCGCGGACGTGCCGGAGCCCGGTGTGTGGTACCAGGCGCCTGGTGCCCCGGCCGGCGAAGACCATGGCGTTCATGGTGAAGACCATGGTGGGTGGCCAGCTGAAGAACCTCACCGGGAGCCTGGGGGGCGGCGAGGACAAGGGGGACGGGGACAAGTCCGCAGCGGAAGCGCAGGGCATGAGCCGAGAGGAGTACGAGGAGTATCAGAAGCAACTGGTGGAAGAGAAGTGAGTGGGATCCCTTCCCGGTTCCAGCGACCCCCACACATACACACAGCCGCTGTGCCCACCCTTGGGTCAATCTGGGGGCCCAACTTTCCTCCCCTGCCTTCCTACATGTGATAAGAGGCTGGGAGATGCCTTCTAGGCTACTCCTACAGCCACTGCTTCTCAAACCCAGGACCCTGCTCCAGCTCTGTACTCTGGCCCAGAGGGCATAGGGGGAGGGGTGATCGGTGCCTGGGACAGGGAGCTGGGTGCACGTGCATTTCTGACGAAGCAAATAATCCCTTAATCCGATCTGGTCCTAGCCGCCTGTGTCTTCCAACTGGGGCTCCTTTGAGCCAGAAGCTCTGAGAAAAGCAGCACAGCAGAGGTGGTGGTGGGGGTGCTCAGAGTCGCGGAGACAGATCCTGAGATGGGAGCACCCGTGGATATTGAGCCTACTGTGTTCCAGCAGTCCTGGGACACAGCGGAGGTGGGGGTGCAGTTAGGCTGCTTGGGTTCAGATCCTGGTTTTGCTTCTCATTAGCTGGGTAACTTTAGGCAAGTTACTTAACCTTTCTATGCCTCTTTTCCTCTTCTGGAAAGGGGGGATGGTTGTCATATGCTTTATATATTCATGTAGATTAAATAACTTAATGCATGTAAATCATCTAGCCCAGAGCCTGGCACGTAGCAAATCTTCGTTAAATGTTACTTGTTATTTCACTTAATCCTAACAGCGTTGTGAGTTGCAATGTCTCATCCCCATTTTACAGACGAGAAAGGCAAGTGACTTACCTAAAGACATACCCTAAAGTAGTAATGGAGCCACAATAGGAACTCAGATCTATTCCTAATATTTTTCCCCCTCATGACACAGTTTGTCAGGGAGGGAAAGACAGGCATGAGTCAGGAACGGCACAAATATTGGGATCTGCAGAGAGGGTTAGGAAGACTGACACCCCCATTCAGTGGCGGGTGCAGAGTCCGCAGAGGGCACGATGATGGGGAAAAGCAACAAAGAGCAATCTAATCGGGTCAGGTCTGTGAGCCCTAGCTACGCACAGGCCAGCCGGCTGGACCGATGCAGGTTGCTGCCAGTACTCCAGAGACCCCTTGGGGCCCTCGCTCGCAGACCCCGCCCCTTCTTTCAGTCCTTGCGTTGACTCCACCCCGGTATCCTGGCAGGATGGAGCGGGACGCGCAGTTCACGCAGAGAAAAGCAGAGCGGGCCACGCTGCGGACTCACTTTCGAGATAAATACCGACTGCCCAAGGTACGAGAGCTCAAGCTGTAAGAGTGGACCGCGCCCTGAGCTCTGGGCTTAGAACTCCTTGATCCACTCTGTGCGCCAGAGCTCTCAGCCCGTGAGACTCACAGGGTGCTTACTTGAATCTTTCTTTTTCATTCATTTGTTCATTCACTCAGTTAACCAGCGCTGCCAAGAGTGAGGGCTTGGTGTTTAGGGGAAACCCAATCCTCCAGAGACTGACAGGTTTGTGTCCCCAACCCTCCACCCCAATCAGGCCTGGCCTCAGAAGGAACAAAGGAGACAGAAAGTAGATTTTACCTCAGGAATGAGTATTCTCAGGCCTTCTGAGCATGCATGGAGGGCATGCTGAAGAAGAGAAGGCCAGTGACTGATGTAAGAGGTACTTGGCCATGTTCTCACCTAATAACCTTAATAATGCTGCCAAGTAGCTATCACATCTACAAATAAGGAAACTAAGTCTCAGAGAGATTAAAGGACTTGGCTAAGGTCATATAGCCAGTGAGAGATGGAGCTCATGCCTGTGAAWACTGAGCCTGTGCTCAATTCAGGCCCTAAGGCTGTTTTCCTGGCATGGGGTCTGCCTGTAGAGAGCAAAGTACCTCCAAGCAGCCAAGGTGTATTTATCAGGAGGTCCCCTGTGCTCCTGTAARCACTCAGCACCATAAGCATGCAAGTATGTTACTTCTGTAACCTAAGAAAGCAACCCAGGCATAAGCCACTTCCAGGATATCACCCTAGAGTGCCTGAAATAGAGCTAGACTGAAGGGGAAATAGAGGTAAAGTGCTATAACACTTCTGACCTTGATCTTCCACTTGAATTGAAAGATCAGTGAACATTACCTTCACTCATTCAACAAATGTTTACTGAGCCCCTGGCTGCCTCTGACTTCCCACAGAGCACCAGTCTTTTGGAAGTCTCTCAAAGGGAAAACCAATCCAAAAAGCCTGCCAGGCTGCAAACCCAGCTAGGAATGGAGTCATTACTCAAATGCTTGCACTGAGTATCTAAGGGACACAACTCCTGCCATTAGGGAACTCTGAGTCTACAAGAAGAGGCAAGACTTGGATGTGACTGAGTAGGACACATGGTCCCAATGCTTCCCACAGGGACAAAGAAGTGCACTAGCCATGGGCAGGTGCTGTGAAAAGACAGCATAGATGTTGGAATCAGTGACATAGATTTGAGTCTAGCTCCCCTGTTTCCTAGCTGTGTGGCCTTGGGCAAGTTACTTACTTAAATTATCTGAACCTCTATTTCCTATTTGTAAAGTGGAGACAAGAGGAACTACCTCCTAGATACTTTTTTATTGTGAGAATTAAAAGCACCCCAGCTCAACATTAGCCATAAAACAGGAGTTGATAAATGGTACCCATCGCTATTATTGGTTATGTCCTTTGGTGGTGTTAACAATAGTCAGTACATGACAGTTGATTTCAACAGTGTGACTCCTAGGCATTTTCATTTTCTCTTAACTCAGTATGCTAAGTCCTTCAGTGTCTCAGAGTGAAGTAAGGCAGTACAAAAGTGCAAGGCCTCCAGGTCAATGCATCAAATGCTTGACCCTGGGATGTTATGGGTAGGGGAAGAGCTCACTAGAACATGGGGCTCAAGAATCTAGGGACCTGAGCTGGGGGCGATGGTGCACACCTATAATCCCAGTGGTTTGGGAGGCTGGGGAAGGAGAGTTGCAAGTTCAAAATCAACCTCTGCAACTTAGTGAGGCCCTAAGCAATTTAATGAGAACCTGTCTCAAAAAAAAAAAAAAAAAGGTTGGGGGACGGCTGAGGCTATGGCTCAGGGACTGGAACCCAGTCCAGGTTTCTTTCCTGACACTTCAACTCTGAGTCCTCACAGACCTGCACCTCCACCCGCCCCCTTTTCCCTTCAGAACGAGACAGATGAGAGCCAGATCCAGATGGCAGGTGGAGATGTGGAGCTACCTCGGGAGCTGGCCAAGATGATTGAGGAGGACACAGAGGAGGAGGAGGAGAAGGCCTCAGTCCTCGGGCAGCTGAGCAGCCTCCCAGGCTTGGACCTCGGCTCACTTAAGGACAARGCCCAGACCACACTGGGGGACCTCAAGCAATCAGCTGAGAAGTGCTACATCATGTGATCACTTCCCCTGAGGTTGCCCATTGGGATGGCCAGAGGGCTGGTCCACATAAGGGCTAAGAGTGTGTCTCAGTTTCCAGGGATCTATACCCCATTTTGGGCTTTATTTCCCTTGCCCTAACCTAGCCTCAGAACCCTTCTCATCCTTGCCCCAAACCTGACTTCTAGTGCCTCCCTTCCCACTAGGAGCAAAGTTTCCATTCCTTTTTCTATCCTTTAGGACCCATCCCCCTTCTGAGCCTGGGGAGGCCACCCAATATTATAGAAATATGTCCATCCCTCTCTGGCCCCCAAGTTCCTGCACACAGGAGCATTCACAAAGGGACACAATGACCCTGCCATGTTGGCCACAGATAACCCTGGCACACAAAGACACACAACCCCTGGGTTCCTAGCCCCATCAGCCACCACCCCTCAGATGCTCTCAGAGGAGGGCTATAGGAGATACCCTAGCAGACAGGAGGCCTGCATTCCAATCTCCATCTGTATTGTCCTTGAAGGCCACTGCTTTCAGGGCCTATTTCATCATCTGGAAAATGGGAACAGACTGGATGATTCCTAAGATTCTTTTTGGCTTTGCATCCCTGGCCACTCCAGCCGAGCCCACACTCCTCCTTGGGCAGGGCCGCAGCTGCAGTCACAGCCTCAAGCAGCTGCCACTGTGGGCTCTGGGAGCTGAGCAATGCTGGGTAAGGGGCGAAGTGCCAAGGATGGAGCTGGCATCAAACAGTAGCCCAAGCAGCTCCAGGCCTTCTCTGGGCCCAGGGCCCAGCCAATTTCTGTCCTGTTCCTGTAGAACTCTCTGTCTGGATTCTATAGCTGGAATCTCCTCTCCTAGCTCAGTGAAAAATAAAAATTTCAAATGTCATGGTTCTCTTTTCACTTTTTACTGATCTTGAGTCCTGGAGCTCATAGCCCCAAGCCCGCCCTGGAGGGGCATCCTCTACTGCYGACCTGAGTGGCACAGTGGGGAGGACACACTCAGTGCCAGGAGTGGAAGGGTCTTGTGAATGGAAGGGAACTGCTCCACTGCCAGCCCCTATAAGATGTTCTAGTTCTACCCTCCCAGGGCCATGGGTGAGAGTGGGGGGCTGTACTGACCCAGTAGCCTGGGGCAAGATGAAGTAGGACTGGGCTCTGGGCTTTGAGGGGGATGTGATGGCCTTCTGGAGATATATGTGGGAAGGTGGGGGCCTTCAGGGAATTACCTGGGTCCACAGGAACTGCCACAACTCAACCACAGCTTTCTCTGGCACCTATGCCTACTACCCTTTCCTCACTTAAGAGATGGAGGATGTAACAGAAAGAAGCAGGGAACCTGTGCTCCAGCCTGACTATCATGTGGCTTTGAGCAGGCTCCCTTCCTCTCTAAGCCTATTTGCCCCTGTAAAAAGAAGAGTCCCACCACCCTAAAATAACAATAGCACAAGTTTCAAACGGTGACTTTTTTCTCTCTCAGGGGTCCTGGGGATCAAGCGCCAGAGCTCAGGCATACTAGATAAATGCCCTACCATTGAGCTACAACTCCAGCCCCAAAGGATGACCATTTGTAAAGCCCTTGACACATGATAGGCCATATCAATAAATGGGGAGCTGGGGTTGTGGCTCAGTGGTAGAACGCTGGCCTCGCAAGTGTGAGACCCTGGGTTTGATGCTCAGAACCACCTAAGAATAAATAAACAAAATAAAAAGATATTGTGCCCATGTATAACTAAAAATAAATAAATAAATAAATAAATAAATAGATGGTAACTCATTATTTAAAAACAGGAGAGGGGTGGGTCCTGAGGTCATGTGACACTTCCTAGTTGGGCAGGCAAAGTCAGTGGGAAGGCTCCCCTGGCACCCTCAGGCTCCTGAGGTGGCCTGAGGCGAGGCAGAAAGCTGGTCCTGTTCCCAAGCTCAGTGTATTCAGGAGTTTATGCTTAGGCAGTGAAGAATGCTTTTGAATTTTTTAAAACAACAAAAAAATGAAGAGCCCAAATGTCATCCTGCTCACCTTTGGTGCCAGGGATAGGTGGAGCAGAGGGTCCTGGTGACTCCTGGAAGCTGCCTGAGCAAATGGGTCACCCTRGGCCACCTGCAATGAAGGAAGGAAACACTGCAGGCAACCCACGGTGCCCTCCACCCTGAAGCTCAGGTCCGCCTCTGGGAAAGCCTCCTGAGGGATGGTTGTCAAGGGCAAAGTTCCCATTAGGCTCCCTTTGTAAAATAAGAACAAGGAACACAAAACACGGGCAGTAGGTAATGTGGGGGTAGGAGAGGGGAGAAAGAAGGTGAAGAGCTGGGAGTGGGAAGTAGAAGGGACCCAGGCCTGGAGTGGAGGCAGAGCTGCTTAGGCTATCACATGGGCCTCGCCCTCCTGAGCAGCTCCCAGGAGACCCTGGGGAAGGGCCCCCGCAGCTACTGCACACAAACCCCTTCTGACTTTCCCTGAGCTGGAGGAGCCCCAAGTCAGGTGTGGGGGGCGCGTGGGCTGCCTCAGTAGCGTCAGCAGCAGGACCCACGTCAGCACTCCGCGCTCCAGGGGCCTTCTGCCTAATGAGATCAGACAGCCCCCTTCCCCCTCAGTGCTTTGCAGGGCCAAGAGCCAGCCTGGGGTGGCAGGCAGTGTGTGTGTCGGGGGGTGATTGGGGGACACTCGATGAACCCTGTCAAAGCAGGGCTGTTTGGTGCCTGGAGTCAGAAAGTGGGAGGGGACTGACCCTCCACACTGGCTCTCCCTTCACGTCTTGGGAATCCCAAGAAGCCCTGACCTGTCTGCACTGTCCCTGGAATGGAGTAGAGGAGGCTACCAGGCAGAAGGGTCCAGTTCTGTGAAAGGGCAGGCTGAGGGCTCTCTGCTTCTGCTGGCCTTGCCCTGTTTGCCTGTCAGCTCCACGCTCTGGGTTTCTCTCTCAGTCTGTGTTGCTCTCCCCTGTGTCCTCCTACCCTCTGTCTCATTCCCGGCTCAGTGCCTGTCCTGTACCCCTGCCTTCCACGGGGCTTACGGGTCAAGCTGGGGCCTCTCCTTCCAGGCCCTCAATGCATCCACTTCATTCTCTTCCTATCCCATTTCTATACTTTCTTACTGTGGACAATCACATGCTCCCACCTGGTGTGATGTAAAGGCCACAAAGAAAGCTACCTGCCACCAAAACTTCCCTTCCACAGTGCCCCAAACCCTACTACTATAGCATCATAGTTTGGAGCCTGATGCTCTGTGCCTTCTCCTTTCCACCTACCCTCCTGTTCTTTCCCCCTTTTTCCTTCTTCCCCTTGCAGGCAGGTGGTAAGAAAGCCCTTCTGTCCTCACCTCCTACCACATGCTTTTTCAAGGAGAAAGGGGAGGTCAAGATGGATGGCCTCCCCTCCCACCATTCAAGGGCTCTGACTCCACCATCCAAAGGATTTTGGGAAGATTGATGGCGCCCCTGGACCCTACCTAAGGAAATTCCAGTCCCCTTCTGCCTTGACCATTCAACCAGTCAGCCCAGACCCAGTGGGAGGAGGGGTGCAGAAAAACAAGTGACTTTCCGGAGGCCAGATGGTCCCCAGAGAGAAGTTGGGGAGGGTGGCTGGCGTTTGGAGCGCGTAGGATCTCCCTTTCCCCAACATCCAGATGGTCCTCCTCAGACACTGGAGGCCATAGGCAGGCACTGGGGACATCTGGGGCATGCTCACTTGCTAAGCCAAGCTGCTGACAATGCCTATTGACCCAGCTGATGCTCAGGCCTGGGGTGGGAGCTTCTGTCCCCCATCCCACAGACCTGAGGCTGCAGTGGGAGTGGGGAGCCACAAAACTCACTGCTCTGCCTCAAACCCAGTACCCATCAGGCATCACCATCCTGAGTCTGTATGAGGCGTGAGGAGTCTGGGTGGCCTGCGTCCAGAGGAGCAGCAATGTTAAGGCTGCCTCAGTCTCATCCAGCAAGAGCCATTCCCGTGTGTGACCATGAGTGGAAGTCTGTGTGGGGATCTTCAGGCATCTGTGAGCTTGGACATGGCTTTCCGGTTTTGTCCATGGGATTTCAAGTGTGTAGGTGTGGGTGTGAGTTACTCTGGGGGAGTATTCCTTGATGCTCTCCATGCCTCATTTCTCAGCCTCATGAGGCCATCTCTCTCAGGAAGGGCTTGGATGCTGGAACAGCATCCTGGCCTCTGTGGACAAGAGTTTTTCTAGATAACTTCCTGTAGGGACCAAGATTCTATATCCTTTTGTATCCCCGGAAGCCAAATAATAGGCAAACTGGGTACAAGGACACCTGGCACCCTCAATCTGCTCTAGAAGTGGCCCTTGGGAACAGAAAGGTCCCAAATTGGCCTGGTGCTGGCTTTGACCATGGGTGACTGTGAAAGTGGGAAGATAAGGCACGGTGAGACCTGGACACTGCTGAGGGGCATTTGCACTGTGTTGGAAATGAGAGGTGGAAACAACCTGCTCCAAAGAGCAAAAGTATTCGAAAAGCCAATTTGTAGGTTTCTCACGTGTCTTCCATTAGAAGAAAGGCCCTACAGAGAGCCTACCTCCTCCCTTGCCTCTAGCCTTCCGACAGGACTGCCTCCATTGTAGGTGGCTGGCACACAGGACCAGCCTGGACCCATCCACCTAATGGTTTGCCCAGAGAGCACCTTCTCAGGGTCTGAAACTTCCAGGCATTTCCTTTACCTAATTCTTCATATGGGCCCACTCCTCTCCATACCCACATTGTCTAAGAATTTGAGGTTCCTGTTCTCCATCACTTGATATAGATATCAGAAATAACAAATTGGGTGGGATCAGTGAGCCAAACCTCTCCCTCCCAGCCCACCTTCCCCATTTATCCACCTAAAATGTCCATTCATTCCCCTCCTCCCACCTATTGCAGTCTTTTTGTCTGGTCCATTTTCAGAGATAATCTGAAATGTTTCTCTCCCTAGATCTGAAAATAACATTTTACTGAATTTACCGTATGCCAGGCTGATGTACACTACACCTCATTACATACTCCCATGGGGCACATTTCTTCATCCTCATTTTAT